CCCGAACATAAGAAAAATAACATATCTCACCTTTCAACAACCGTTGACGAGGTAATTATATCCTGAACATAAGAAAAATAACATAACTCACCTTTCAACAGCCGTTGATAAAGTAATTATATTTTCAACATACAGAAGTTGAATTTATAATATGTATGCAGATTAAAAAAGAAAAATTATAATTTTCTGTACAATTTTAGAGCCCTATTAATTAGAGTTTTCACTAAAGCATTAACGTAACTCGTGTCGCTTTTTTTTTTGTCCATTCTTGAGTTTCTGGTATTATAATTACTCTAATAATGTGTTACTTTTGGGATACTATGTACGAGTGATTTAAAAATTAAAATAAAGCTTTACATTGCTTACAAAATAGAACATTCTATCCACCAACAGGTGGCATTTTCTTACAATATTATCATTATTATTATTATTTCCTATTTATATTTAAACGTCCAAACGTCGGTGGGTGGGGGTGAGGAGGACAGTCTGAAATGAATAAAGATTGTCTGACGTTCAATAAAAACACTTTAAATATTATTCAATAATTTCACATAATAACAAGTGCTGTATTGTACATAGAAGAACATGAAAATACAAACAAAATCGTTTGTTGTGTACTACAAAATCGCATTTTTGCACATGTTCGCTTCGTCGTGCACATTTCAAAATTGGTTTTGTATACGCCCAGTGCATAGATAAAGACTAAATAAAAATTGTTGGCAGCAATATATTTGGGTAGTGGAAATAATATTATGGCTCCAATGTAATTATTTGGGCCACTTGCCCCCTGGTTCCGGCTTCTATCTTATTTTCTATTAGCACTTCTGTTTTGAATTTATCGTAAAGCTACTCAAGGCTATCTGCGATAGCCGTCCCTAATTTATTAGTGATAAACTAGAGGGAAGGCAATTAGTCAATACCACACACCGCCAACTCTTAGGCTACTCTTGTACCAACGCATAACTGGAGTGACCGTCATAAATATAACGCTCCTACAGCTAAAAGGGCGAGCATGTTCGGTGAAGGGGATTCGAACCTGTGACCCGCAGATTGCGAATAGAGCGCCTTAACCATGTTTGATTAGAAAGTTGAAATAATGAAAACATTGTCGTTATATGGATAACAGTGGGAACCAAAATTAAGCCTAGGGGAAAATTGTTGAGATTTAAAACATTTATTGTTGTTCACATTACTGGTAATGAGTTTATTATGTTTCATTTTCTTGAGAATTAATATTTTCTAAAATATATATATAACGCAGTATATTTGACTATAAATAACTAAATAAACAACATTAAGATTACGGACATAAATACAGTCGTAAACCTTTTTTTTTGTCTCGGATATATTGATTAATAAGTTATTATATCATATTCGTGAGGCGTATGTACAATGCAATATTCTCTGGAAATGTACATTTCGTGAGGTTTCGTATTTCCTTCATTCTCGTCTCTCATCTGCTGTTTCCAACGTCACGTTCTGGGCATAAGGTATCATACGAGTGCCTTTTACATAAGCATGAAATGGTAATTTCTTTTCAAATGTTTAACTGCACAGTGAGTTGACAAGAAAATCTACACTTCACTGCGCAGACAGTGGCACATTCCACAACAACTGAGACAACAAAAAAGTACTTTACGAAAGACAACTATAAAACATTTTTTTTCTTGTGGTACACCGTATTTTTTTCTACACGTATACTTTCAAGTTTTAATGGACTTTCTATACAATATGCAGAAGATGCGTTAGATCGTTTTCTATGTTTAAAAAACAAAACAAATGCTTCTGGCATTTATGAATTTGCTTCACGTTTTCAACTTTTTGATGAAACGTTTTTATAGAACATGAAGATCAAAAGAACCATGATTTATATAAAACGAAAACACACAAAATCAGTAGAATACGCTTAGATAAGTTGGATCCTTTATATATATATTATATTATGAAAAGAAAGCACGAAACCATTATTACAAAAAATAAATCTTCTACTACTAATTGTTTATTTAAACTTGTACTGTGTAATTAGAATATCTTCATTTAAAATGGCATGCCAAAAACCTTGCATGCGAGCGTATCAGTCAGACATGTAGCATTATATATATAAAATTCAGAAAACTGTTACTTACACAGGTGTTCCAAGGAATACTATGTTCTTCCATTCTTCCATGTGCAACATTTGTCCTTTCAAGTGCAATAGTTTATCTTCGGGATCTGGAATGGGGGGGGGGGAACAGAGCCAAATAAATCATTCATCTTACCGACTGATTTATACACTTAGAATACACACGCTACTGTAGGCTACAATTTCCAGGAACACTTTAAAACTATTGATTAAATCTTCTATCATAGTTCATGAATTAATAATCTACTCGTCTAGTTGCCTTCGTGCGTTATTCAGATACTATTACCAGGCATGGTAATAGTGAGCCTTAAACTGGAAGGGGACCTACATTCTTCGAGCACGGCCACAGTGAGCCTACAACTGCGGTAATCCACGTTTTAGGAGCACGACCAGAGTGAATCTTCAACTGCGGGGGGAACCAGAATTTTTGGTAATCCACATTTTAGGAGCACGACCAGAGTGGATCTTCAACTGCAGGGGGAACCAGAATTTTAAGAGCTCCTAGATTTATATAACGAATACTTTGCAATTTAAAGCAGAAATTCAGGAAATTTAGCAGTGTAAGACTAGAGGGAAGGCAGCTAGTCATTAATAGTGGGATTGACCGTTACATTATAACGCCCCCACGGCTGAAAGGGTGAGCATGTTTGATGGGAGAAGAATGCGAACCCGCGACCCGCAGATTGCGAGTCGAGATCCCTAACCACCTGGCTATGCCAGGCCTTTCCAAAACATAAGAACTTTGTAAATTTATAGTCAGTAAGCATATACCTCTGAAGACATTATATCGGCCAATATTAATTTAATAGAATTAACAGAGATTATTATTATTATTACCAATTATACAATCCATTTTAGAAGTCTGGGAAGTTAATATCTTTCAAGTTTTATATTTTTCCTGAAAATGTTAATATTTGAGGTTAATTATTGATTAAGAAAGACTGAAACATTAAATATCCGGAAACTAGTAACGTTTAATATTTCAAAATATCATTTTTTTAAACACTGTAATAAAACCTACACAACTCATAATCCTGATCACGAACTTCCAGACTGGAACAACTTCCTGGAATATGATAACTGGTATCATCACTATTGTTCTTTTGAGGTCGAACCAGCTCCAGAGATTTTAATTCGAATATGTTGTTGGTATGGTCCAGTATCTGGGAAACATAAAATATGAACAATTCAAACGGTATTTATTGCGTAAGACTTTCTGTCCTTTTCTCATTGGCTCAATAACAAAATAAAAGCTTTTAGGGATTTGCTCTGAAGTTAGAGTATTCCTTTTAGTTTTAACTTAATATGTTTTTTTCTTTATTGGTTCAATTATACACACACACATATATATATATCATAGTGAATTATCTTAAATTTTAAGATAATTTTTGAGTTTGCCGAATATTCAGAATATTTCTTTGAGCTTTGGTTTCAAATATAGAGTATTACATTATGTGTGAACTCATCTATTTTGAGTCAACTTTCGGTGTACTATTTTAGTTTCTGCTCAATATCTTGGGTCTGTGTTTGAATATTGACTTGACGTACAAGGTATACGTTTGATCTTTGGCTACTCATTCAGGACAATATTTGAGTCACGACTTAACATCAAACTAGAACGGATGTGATCAATTAAACTTTAAATATTCTAGGCCCGGCATGGCCAGGTGGTTAAGTCGCTCGACTCGTAATCTGAGGTTCGAATCCCTGTCACACCAAACATGCTCGCCCTTTCAGCCGTGAGGGCATATAATGTGACGGTCAATCCCACTATTCGTTGGTAAAAGAGTTGCCCAAGAGTTGGCGGTGGGTGGTGATGACTAGCTGCTTTCCCTCTAGTCTTACACTGCTAAATTAGGGACGGCTAGCGCAGATAGCCCTCGTGTAGCTTTGCGCGAAATTCAAAACAAACAAACAAACAAACTTTAAATATTCTAAATGTTGAGCAAAAGGAAAATCATCTATATTAATTATTGAGCTAAATCTGGTACATCCGTTCTAGTTTGATGTTCAGTCGTAACTCAAATACTCTGAAGATTAATCAAAAGGAAGATTATCTATATTAATTATTGAGCTAAAACTGGAATTGTTTCAGTGTGTTAATAAAATGAAACATATTAATCTAACGTAAGTTAAAAAACCTATACTGTAACTAGCTGAGAACTATAACTGCTAATGATATTAGCTTCATTGAGTACAGTTAGGCTAAAATAGTTGATATTGATCATAAGCAGTTTTCAGTGGTTCTTATTCACAATCACCAGATGGCAACGTGGATCAAAAAGTTATTTACTTGTTTTGTTTTTAATTTCGCGTTAAGCTACACGAGAGTTATCTCCGCTATCCGTTCCTAATTAAGCTAGAGGGAAGGCAGCTAGTGAACACCACCCACCGCCAACTCTTGAACTACTCTTTTACCAACGAATAGTGACCATCCCATAAAACGCACCTACTGCTGATAGGGCAAACACGTTCGGTGATGGGGGATTCGAACCCGCAGATTGGAACTTTATTTACTTGATCACCACTAATTTCACCTTACAAATGATCAAATAGCCATTCATCTGTTCGATATTGATTTTAAGATATCTTTATATTTTTATGAATACTTTATTTAAGTGTATTGTGCGTAGCATAACTAATTAAAAATAGTCGTATTTTTGTGATATTAGGATTTTTTTTAATACTCGTATAATTATAAAGAAAAAAAAACGCATTGAAAAATACAGAAAGACGAGTAGAATATACTGGAAATTACTCTAAATGTCTTTAAGCACTAACGCCATCTCGCTAATGCTTTGCTAAAGAAAATCTTTAATTTGTTAAATATTTCTTTGTGTAGGAGTATCAGCATCCTTAGTCTATTCAGTTACCAAAACGGTTACTTTTATATAGTGTTTTGTGGTTCTTTGGTTCTTCTACTGTGCTTATCTCATCACACAGATAGTCAATGTAGGCTTAATAGCATGCTAAAGTCAAATCCCCAGGGGTATTGGGGTGATTATATCCAGTAAGGCAAAACGTTCCACTCACTCGCCTTTGTTGGTAGTGACGATATTAGATATGGAAATATCCTGCTTCGCTACGCAATATTGTTTAAACTTGCCTACAGTGGCGTGTTATGTGTGATAAGGTATACTGTTGTGATACATGAAGTTAATATTTCGTTAAATTTATGATAAAGCTTCGTACAAATTGTATATTTGGGGCGAGTGCAATTTAAAGTTAATCTATCTTTTGAGCTAGAGGTCACATTTCAACTATAGTAAATAACCTTTATTAGATTCAAAAATAGGTACGTTGATACTAGCTCCCATTGTGTAGCTTTGTGCTTGATTACAAACAAACTGATACCAACGTACCTATTTTTGAATCTAATAAAGGTTATTTACTAAAGTTTGATATCAACGTACCTATTTTTGAATCTAATAAAGGTTATTTACTATCGTTGAAATGTGACCTTTACAAACAAACTGATATCAACGTACCTATTTTTGAATCTAATAAAGGTTATTTACCATAGTTGAAATGTGACCTCTAGCTCCCATTGTGTAGCTTTGTGCTTGATTACAAACAAACTGTTTAAGCACAAAGCTACACAATGGGATTTCTGTGCTCCGCCACCACGGGTATCGAAACCCGGATTCTAGCGTTGTAAGTCCGCAGACATACCGCTGGGCCACTGGGGGTGGGGCACATTGATATCACTAAACCTACTTCAAATTTGATATTATGCTTTATTTCAGGAAGGTAAAACCTTCAGGAAAGTTACTTTGATTAACTGAATTACGAAAAGATCTTATCGAATATATAGTTTCATACCTTAATATCTTTACAGACAGATTCTACCTATTTTTACAGTAATTTCCAAATAAGCCATTAAATATGTTATTGAAACGAAACAAATTCGTTTAAAGATTAATTTGTAGATATGGTACTTTCTTCTTGACCCAAAATTCAGGTTCCGTGCACTTAAATATTAGTAGAGCTCATACTTCCAATATTTTATGTGTGTGAGGGTATTATTAAAACCCACAAAAATAACCAGAGTTTTACTTCAAAATACAGTAAAAATCTAGTCTTGACCAAACTCGCGAACACTGTAAATTATTAACCTTTCCGGATGCTTTTATTATGACAGAAGAAAATTGGTAAAATCCTTTAATGCGATTTTCGTTGGCACATTGCTAACTACGCTTTGGCACACAGAAAACAAGACATGATTGTTGCGCTATTTGCCGTATTGGTACAACTAACTAAACATTTACAACATCGTTTGTTTAGTTGAACTAATGCAGAAGGTAGGTTACTTGAAAAACATGCACCAGAAATATTGCTGGTTGTCGGGGAAAGTTATTTATATATATATTCTAAATTAACTTAATAAATATAGGTTTGAATTACAGTTATTCTTTGTTGCATCTAGAACTGTTAACAATGTAGTTTAATAAAAATAATCACTAGTACCATTCAGACAGTTACAACAATCATCAATACCATTCAAACATCTTCAACATCCACCAGCACCACTCAAACATTTACAACAATCATCAGTACCATTCAAACAGTTACAACAATCATCAGTACCATTCAAACAGTTATAACATCCATCAGCACTATTAAAACAATTACAACAATCAACAGTACCATTCAAACAGTTACAACAATCATCAGTACTATTAAAACAATTACAACAATCATTAGTACCATTCAAATAGTTACAACAATCATCAGTACTATTAAAACAATTACAACAATCATCAGTACCGTTCAAACAGTTACAACATCCATCAGTACCACTCAAACAATTACAACAATCATCAGTACCATTCCAATATTAACAACAATCATCAGTACCATTCCAATATTAACAACAATCATCAATACCATTCAAACATCTTCAACATCCACCAGCACCACTCAAACAGTTACAACAATCATCATGCCATTCAAACAGTTAAACATCCATAAGTACCATTCAAACAGTTACAACAGTCATCATGCCATTCAAACAGTTAAACATCCATGAGTACCATTCAAACAGTTACAACAATCATCAGTACTATTAAAACAATTACAACAATCATCAGTACCATTCAAACAGTTACAACAATCATCAGCACTATTAAAACAATTACAACAATCAACAGTACAATTCAAACAGTTACAACAATCATCAGTACTATTAAAACAATTACAGCAATCATTAGTACCATTAAAACAGTTACAACAATCATCAGTACTATTAAACAATTACAACAATCATCATACCATTCAAACAGTTATAACATCCATCAGTACCACTCAAAATATTACAACAATTATCAGTACCATTCAAACAGTTACAACAATCATCAGTACCGTTCAAACAGTTACAACATCCATCAGTACCACTCAAACAATTACAACAATCATTAGTGCTATTCAAACAGTTACAACAATCATGAGCGCCGTTCAAAAAGTTACAACAATCATCAGTATCATTCAAACAGTTACAACATCCATCAGTACCACTCAAACAATTACAACAATCATCAGTACCATTCCAATATTTACAACAACCATCAGTACCATTCAAACAGTTACAATTATCATCATACCATTCAAACAGTTACAACAATCATCAGTACCGTTCAAACATTTACCAGATCTATTAGTACCATTCAAACAGTTACAACAATCATCAGTACCATTCAAACAGTTACAATTATCATCATACCATTCAAACAGTTACAAAAATCATCAGTACCATTCAAACAGTTACAACAATCATCAGTACCGTTCAAACAGTTACAACAATCATCAGTACCATTCCAATATTTACAACCATCATCAGTACCATTCAAACAGTTACAATTATCATTATACCATCCAAACAGTTACAATTATCATCAGTACCATTCAAACAGTTACAATTACCATCAGCACCATTCAAACAATTCTAATTTCAATAAGACTGAATCTTTTCTCTGATTTATTATTAGCATGACTGCAGAAGCTTTGTATTTACAATATATAACAGCGACACCTGGAATGGTATTAGTAGGGGTTTTTTTAGATCAAAAATAAACATTTTCTAGATCAAATATTAAAAAGTTTTGTACAAAAATACACGAATAGAAGAGTAACTTAAATTATTTTAAGTGTTAAAAATACGGTTAATTTATAATAACATAACGAGATTAGTGATTTAAATACGGTTAATTTATAATAACATAACGAGATTAGTGATTTCATAGGAATATGAAAAAAAAAAAACTTACCGAAAACCAAGAAAATTGAATTAATGGCCGGGTGAGTTCAAACACGTCCAGTAGTTTATGACCTACCAAAAACGGCATGACGTACCGCAAGCTATTCCCTGTTTGTGTAATAAAAAGATCCTTGTCGAAAATGATTGAAAAGGGAAATATATCCATAAACAAACTGAATTTAATCGGGAGCATGAAGTGGTCCACTCTGTTTACTTGTTTCTGTTGTTGTTCTAACTGAAAGGCTGTATTGTCAAAGGAAAGTCGCATCGTGACATGTACACTATTCAACAATGTCTCCTGTTTTAGCACTTCGATCGCAACGTCTGTGTTGTAGAAATGGCGGCCGACTTCTCTTATCTGTCCTACCGTATACCACAGGTATCCGCGACGGGAGCTACGGTAGTGAAGGGTCAGTCCAGTGGGACTTTCGTTCTCACAAAAAAAAGAAGGCGCGTTAATCTTTGGATAGCTGAATTTCAGGTATTCGTGAAGATTGTCTAAACCATTTAGAAAGTCCCTCATATGACGGCCAAGAACGGACAAAAGCTGATCGTATCCATACTGTCTTATAAAAGAGATAAAACTCACTCCCATGGCTTCAAGTAAATCTTTTTTTGAAACATTCAAAACCTAGAAAGACAAATAAAAACATTTGTGAATTATTGTGATTAATATCGTGCTAGTTTAATTGTCGTTTTTGTCAATGTACTAAAACTCAGAATACGCTTAATTTCAATAATAAAAACAAATATTATAGTAAGTTTAAGAAAATAATTTATTATCAGACCATAATTCCACAAGGAAAGAGTAATTTATTATCAGACCACAATTCCACAAGGAAAGAGTAATTTATTATCAGACCATAATTCCACAAGAAAATAGTAATTTGTTATCAGACTATAATTCCACAAGGAAAGAGTAATTTATTATCAGACCAAACTGCATTGTTGTGCAAGGGGTTAAAACAGGTAACTCCTCCAGATGGCGTTCGACCCGCTTCCGGAGGAAATAAATTTGGTAAAAATCTGAAATTGTGGAATTAATGACGTCACATAAGGGACGCTTAACGTTGCAATTTGTACTGTCGTGACGTCAGTAGAACGTGTGCATCCCATGAATCACGAGAATAATTATGCCCTCATAGGCTACATACAACACAGCGTGACATACGAATTTCAAAAGCAAGAAATAAAGATATGTGTTACTCTTAATTTTGGTTTTATTTACTCTTGAAACAGAACTCTTTCAGGGACACTGCGGAAAGTACGTCTAGTATTTATATATATATATATATATCTTATGTATTGAAATAAGAAGGGAGAAAACCAATCTTAGAAGAAGGCTATAAACCATGCGATAAGTGAAACATCTATTAGTGTTGATTATTATATTCTATTTCGGAAACAGTAAGCATAAATGTTTCCTATCTTTTCAACATACTTCATCTGTATGCAGACTTTAATGGAACTTTGAAAGAGATGTATAACAAAAGTAATTATAATGTTTTTAACTCTGTCGTAAGGACTATAGGGTATTGACTTGTACGTCTGGTAATACGCGTCTGATAAGGTAATGAACCGCGAGTAAAATGTAAATTAACGTCGAACCAAAGCACATAATATTATATTTTAACGCTATAATGGCTGTACTCACTTTCTTTCTGATCTTTTCCAGACTTTATTTTGCATGACCTTTATGTTGTTCACAGCTTATTATCTATTATTGCAATTTCCGAGGGTCAATAAACGTTTACACGTCCAAAACAAATTGGCGCATGGCCTCGTTGGAGACAAAACTACGAAGCATTATAAGATGGTAGGCTTAATTCTGAGACGTGTGAAAGATATATTGTATTGAAATGAAACTTGTTCGAATGTCTGATTGGTTTCGTCTAGTACTATTTCTCGTGCCACTGTTCTTTTATGATTTTTTTATTTTATCTGGTAAATAAATTACCCCCAGCAACGCTGTATAATAACGATACGCGTTGGTTTTTCTTTTCCTTTCTATGTTCTGGACAGCGGTAAGTTTACGGACTTACAACGCTAAAATCCGGAGTTCGACTCCCCGCGGTAGACACAGAAGATGACCCAATGTAGCTTTGCTCTTAATTAACCAACCGAACAACCAATCCATGTTCTGGAATAGATCGAATTTTAACCTGTTCTTTCTTCGTGGAACGAAGTAATCCATGAACAAATAACTTTACATGCGAAACACTATCATTAAATGCGAAACACTATTATGGATGTAAACATCAAATACGTTCTATCATTTTTCATTACTGATCCACGTACACTCGGAGAAGGTTTATAATCAATTCAGTGCCCTATCTACCCCACAGCTGTTTAGAATACACTCTCGTTTCTGAGAGGTATATAGATTTAAATATCTGGGGGAAAAAATCATTTATTCATCTCTTTAAATGTTTGACTAATTAAACTATTGGATTGAAAGATTTGAAATTTCAGAAGTTAACTGATTATTGTTATAAAAAATGACAAAACAATACATTATCAACTAAAACACCCCCCCCCCCCCGTGGCACAGCGGAATGTCTGCGGACTTACAATGCTCGAATCCGGGTTTCGATACCCGTGAGGGGCACAGATAGCCCATTGTATAGCTTTGGGCTTAATTACAAACAAACTAAAACAGGTTCAGGCCTATAAATTGTAGCGAGCAAAACATAAACAAATTTTTAAAAATACCGTTTATGCCCCCCTTTTCAGATAAAAAAAACAACAACAAGTAATTAAACAAGTTGTAGTAAGCGCTATTATTGTTATTTTTCACGTATAGTTAAGTTATACCTAACTTCTTTCATTTCATAAAAAAGGGGAAAAAACGGACTATTCGTTTTTATGGGTAACATTGTTTCATCTGGTTATGTTAAATGATACAGTTAATGTTTTGTTTCTCTAACTTTGGTGGAGTAAGACAAACTGAAATATCGTGAACTGAATTAAGACAAAACGAAGTATTGTTGACTCATTTAAAGTGGAGTAAGACAAACTGAAATATCGTGAACTGAATTAAGACAAAACGAAGTATTGTTGACTCATTTAAAATGGAGTAAGACATACTGAAATATTGTGAACTGAAGTAAGACAAGACGAAGTATTATTGACTCATTTAAAATGGAGTAAGACATACTGAAATATTGTGAACTGAAGTAAGACAAGATGAAGTATTATTGACTCATTTAGATTATAGTGAGACAAACCGAAGTATTGTCGACTCATTTAAACTGGAATGAAACAAGCCGAAGACTCACTGTACGGAGGTTAACCACATGGCCTGTATTCCTACCTATGAAATTGTTTTAGTCCTAGCCATTCAGAGGCCGTATGGACTTCGTATCGCAGCCTTCTAAGCCTAGCTTAGCTACTCTACCTACACAACTCACGATAAATGTGAGAGTCAACTTTCACTTTGGAACGCATAGATTTTTATTCGCACACAGCTATAAACGAATTAAGGTTTATTATATTCTTTATTATTCAAAAATGTGCCATTAAAACGTTGCCAAAATTCAATCGTTAGAAATCGGAAAGTGCTTTTTATGATTTTATTGAAACATGTAATGTGTAAATAACGTTTTAAATGAGTCAACAATACTTCGTCTTGTCTTACTTCAATTCACAATATTTCAGTTTGTCTTACTCCACTTTAAATGAATCAACAATAATTCAACTCATTTTACTCCATTTTAAATGAGTCAACAATACATTCGTCTTGTCTTACTTCAGTTCACAATATTTCAGTATGTCTTACTCCATTTTAAATGAGGCAACAATAATTCGTCTTGTCTTACTTCAGTTCACAATATTTCAGTTTGTCTTACTCCACTTTAAATGAAGCAACAATAATTCAACTCATTTTACTCCATTTTAAATGAGACAACAATACATCGTCTTGTCTTACTTCAGTTCACAATATTTCAGCTTGTCTTACTCCAATTTAAATGAGTCAACAATAATTCAACTTATTTTACTCCACTCTGAATGAGTCAATAATGCTTTTAACTATAAAGATTTCTGTTTTTCAATAACACTCAATACTCAGTCTGTTTAGATTACTAAAAATATAAACTTTCCAGGTTCGATATTAGAACTTAGAATATATATAACGAATACCACTGAACACGATTCTCACGCAAATAAACTACGCTGGTAAACTTGAGTTAAGTAATCACTTCATATATTAGCATTAAAATATTCGAGGTGAATTTTGTTACAAAGAATATATTACACTCTAAATGTGTATTATCATTTTAATTACAAAAAATATTTCCGGGAAAAAATTGTATACTTTTTAAATATATTACTTAATTAATTTGTTAAAACTATATTTTTTTCATCACGCCATAAAATATAAATCTATTTCTTTTATACATATATATATATATATATATCTGGTCAACAGTACTGTCTGAAACAAAAACATTTTAATTATGTTAAAACAAATATCTTTATTACCACTTTCATCTTATATACCCTACTTTTGTGTCTATTTCTTTTGTACATATATATATATATATATCTGGTCAACAGTACTGTCTGAAACAAAAACATTTTAATTATGTTAAAACAAATATCTTTATTACCACTTTCATCTTATATACCCTACTTTTGTGTCTATTTCTTTTGTACATATATATATATATATATCTGGTCAACAGTACTGTCTGAAACAAAAACATTTTAATTATGTTAAAACAAATATCTTTATTACCACTTTCATCTTATATTATATATATATATGTATAAAAGAAATAGACACAAAAGTAGGGTTATATATATATCTGGTCAACAGTACTGTCTGAAACAAAAACATTTTAATTATGTTAAAACAAATATCTTTATTACCACTTTCATCTTATATACCCTACTTTTGTGCTTGAATACCTATCGTTTCCAAATGTCATTTAGTAAAGAATTAAGAACGTTAGTCATAGAACTCTTTTTTTCTAATAAGAATGACTTGCATTAAGTATAACGAGCGTGAGTTTACGGTCAAATGGAGCAATTGTTTGCTCGCTAGTAACCTTAAGCTTCAGGATATTTAGAACTGAACACTGTCTGGTAAAACGAAGAAAAGGAAGCTGGATAAGCAGGGTTGATAAAAACTAAACGACTTTTAACGATGCATTGAAGCATTGTTGAATATATAATAAGTAAACACATAACGTTTATCTTTATTGTCACAATAAACAGTTTAAATGTACTCGGGAGAGCCATTTCTATCTATATCCCAAAGGATCATTTCAGCCATAACACACAACGCAAAAGTGCACGCCGCAGGTCTCCTTACTCCTACGGAATCCCATAATAATAATAATGATGAGTAACTTATATTGTCTTATATAGAGGTTGAATACGTTATATTAAAACAATATCGGAACCTCACCCCGTCGTTACAGTATATGTCACCACTTCTAGTCATGCTCTACCAGATGACCGTTTTTTTTTAATCATATCCCCGCTGCGTAGTTTCCATTAAGAAAGGCTTTGCCGTCGTAAGGTTGTCAAGTCCAAAGCACACACCTTTGCCTTGTTCACTCTCCATAATCTATCTAGAGTACGAGGTAGACTGTTTCTCAGCGTCTGTTTCATCGGTCCGAGTGC